AATAATAACCAAATGGTTTTAGGTCAGCTAGTAGTATATATTTTACCTATTGTTATCCATGAATAAGATGAATGAAAAAGTTATTCAACCGGTTAATTATTGATAGAAATTGTATTTCTATGCGAACATGAAATGAATAATGTAAGTGAACCTTTCAAAGAGTTATTTAACTAAACAACTGACCGAAGAAATAAGAACTCAGTCAATCTTAGGTTAGATGATGCAGTGCGAGTTCAATTACGTTTGATGTATATAAACATGGGAAATCTTGAAGTATGTGACAAATGTAATATTCTACAAGAAATCCTCTTATAAATTATCCTTACTTTAACTCCAATATAGATTGGTTATACAAGGATAGTGTTTCTTATTAGCACCCAAAGCTGAGCTAAAATTTTCATCATACATTTTCATACTCTATTAAATCATGTAAATAAATAATCATATGACAAATTTTCATTCATATTATTACCAATTCATTATTATTTCTAAAGATAACACTAGGTTTTCAGAACATAATACAAATTTACGAAAGCGTATTTGAGTAACATTGGTTTCGTACTCAGTTGTAAAATCTATTTATTTAAGTGTAGAGTCATGAATGAAAAACTTACTGAAAAACATCTTTTTGTTCAATTTGAATTTTGATTGTGTTCATGGAAATATGTACTTTAGTAAAACGAAACATTGACTCAGATAATTCATTTTTGTATTGATTGTTTGAATCTTGTCATTGACATTGAGGACCACAATCGATCAGTTTTTTATCACCATATGTGCATCCTGTTCAGATTACCTCGATATTCTCTTAATCAACAAGCATTATAATCAAAGATGGATAGTCGTTAGCAGGACGCGCATGTACAACCAGCCGACGAGTCCCAAGTAGAACAAAACGCTCGTCTTAAATTCTACTGCTAGCCGCTATCCATCTATGCTTATAATCGGCTGAGTTAATGACCTTTATCAAAGATTGAAATCATGGATTTTAAATCCAATTTCATGTTATGCATAATATTCATCAATGAATAAATAATACAAGCCAACTTCTCCCAAATATTAAATCTGATATAACACATCAATTTCCTTAATATTACATTATTACTTTATGAAACATTATCAATGTATTGTGTGAATGTCTACTTTATAAACATATCAGAAGGGATTTGTGGATATTATATTAATTTCAATGGTTGAGATCATGAGTCAATTGAAGCTAGACCGCCCTGGAAAATCTGGGAGCACTGGACGGTCGTTTCGTCCTAGTATGGATTGGTTGAAGTTAGACGTTAACACTATCAGATACCGGTCGGCTCAGTGGTCTAGTGGTTAAGTGCTCGCGCGCGAGACTGATAGGTCCTGGGTCCGAATCTCGTGAGGCGAGGTCGTGATTGCGCAATGCTGAGGGGTCACACAATAGGACGAAACGGCCGTCCAGTGATTCCAGGCTTTCCGTGGTGGTTTAGCTTCAACTGACTCATGATCTCAACCATTGAAATTATTTTATAAACGTCAGAATTGAGAACTTCACTATATTACTCTTTATTTATTCACTTAAAAATTATTTTACTACCCAAAAAAAATCGGTTTTCTGTTTCCCATTTTGAAAAATATACACAACTTTAAGGAATTTGCAATAATATATTTTATAACTTTTTTGGGGTAACACAAAATTATTTCATCGGTGCTCATATAAAATTCACTTTATTTTAAAACTGATTACATTTCATTAGTGTAAAAATCAAACCTAATTAATATATGAATTTAGAAACAAGTTTAGATTTTTGATTGAGATCATGAACCGATTGATGTTAGAGCACCATTGAAAACCTGGAAGCACTGGACGGCCGTTTCATCCTATTGTGGGACTCCTCAGCACTGCGCATCCACGACCCCGCCTCTCGAGTTTCGAACCTACGGCCTTCAGCTTTGCAAGCGAACGCTTAACCTACTGGACCGCTGAGCCGGCATCCTGTGGTGTTAATGTCTAACCTCAACCAATCCACGATTTAACAAATTTACGGAGAACTTTTCTTCATTTACAAAAAAATCACAAAATTGTACATTTTTCGTTTTCATTGAAAAATAAGTGCTTAACAGCTTCTTACTCATCGATTTTATTGGAAAATATAATTCATATGGTGGATAGAAAAGTCAAAATTCGACTGATTTACTCATTATGAGTTTTGTTCAAAATTACTTCCCTTCTGATTTAGTGTGCTGATCATTCAGTGTAGTATTTGTTTACTTCTCTCTTATGATATTCCTTATAATATACGATATTCTTGTATTTAATTGACATGAAGTATGCTTTGTATGTGATTTGTTATAACTCTAAGTATTTTTATATATGTGATTTCATCCTAATTATTAATCGAATTGTGTGTACAATCAATATATAAACTAGTGTATTTTCGACTACGGTCGTCTACACTGTCTGGAATAACATTTCTTTCACTAGTCTTTTGTCTTTTCATTGTGACTTGGAAGGGTTCTAGCGTTCAAGTGCTCAAGTTATACGCGTCATATCAAGAATATAAGCATCTAGAGATATAACAATAGTAATAAAATAAAGTGATAAATCAGAAAGGGGAGTTTGTGGATACAATAATAATTTAATGGTTGAATTCATGAGTCAGTTGAAGCCAGACCGCCCTGGAAAATCTGAAAGCACTAGACGGCCGTTTCGTCCTAGTATGGATTTATTGAAGTTAGCCGTTAACAACGTTAGATTCCGGTTCAGTGGTCTAGAGGTTAAGCTATCGCACTTGTGGCCGATAGGTCCTGTGTTCGAATACCGCTGGCAGGATCGTGATTGCGCACTGCTGAGGAGTCCCATACTAGGACGGAACAGCTGTCTAGTGCTTCCAGGTTTTTAATGGTGGTCAAACATCAATCGGTTCATGATTTCAATGAATAACACCACTTGTTCGTTTCTGCAGGAGTATCATGTGGAAAATTTTGTTAGATTTATCTTAATTGTTCAATATGATTATCATACATATGCTGTTTGTTTTTCAAATAAACTTTCTTGTCTATTTAATATTGAAGCTATCTGCTTAAAATTCAACCCCTTGCTTTTAATTGACTTCCGGTTGTTGTTTCCTTGCGGGGTGGTTCAATGCTCAGTACGTTATCTATACGGATAAAATTCTGTGAAACAAAATGCGTGTTTTTTTTATCAGACCAAATAATGAAATTCATGTAATTGGTAAAATCGATTGATTGAATAGATACTGCCTTATGATTGATTACCACACCAAAGTGAATAATTCAACAACCATATGATAAACATTGTATACATTCTTACGGCATGTCGATCAAATTCAGTTATCATTTGTAGTTGATATTAATAATTAATTAATATCACTAATGGATACCAACGCTGTACTCAAAAATTTTAAGATAAATAGATCTTCATTGAGGAAAATTTCAAAATGTCTTTAAGAAAAATAGAATATAACGTTTTTGTGTATAACTCAAAGTTCTTGTTTATAGGATGTTCAGATGATATTTTCCTCATTCAAATGAATAAAATATAAATCTAAATGTAATCAAAATATCTGTCATTTTGGTTATTTAATTAGTATATATCATGGATTTTATTTTGATTTATTCTAAAGGTAGAGAATTTATGGAGATGTTGAAATCTAGATCATTTGAACTCAGTTTTATCTACCTATTCTCTCACACCTGTTACCTCTTGTGAAGAATATGCCATTGACCAGGAATCTCCTGACTACTCTGTCCTGAGCTCTTTTTTTCAGTTGTTTCTAAATGCTATTCATCCTTTTGATGTCTGCATCCAATACAATGTGTTCTGTGATTTTTCTCTATTCATTTTGTCATGAAGATTCAAAGTTATGGCTTGCACATTATGCATTTCAACGATTTCCGCAATCTGTGTTCTATCCGCTTCCAGCGTCTTTTCTCAAGTTGCTCATTAGATGGAAGTTGTTTAGAAATATCACACATGTTACTAAAACCTTGTTGTTTTGAATTTGCTTCCCTAATGAGTAGCTGTTGAGCACCTTTAACGTGCCACGGAATAGAGCAAAACAACTATTTATTGCTTCATTGTCAATCAGTTGTTCTATAAGTGGCAGTTTCAAATGAAAACTAACCGTAAATTTAACAAAATCTATGAACTCTTTAGGGATGTTTGTTGAATATACACAATTATTGATAGATAATTATAACAAACGCGCCTAATACTTAACTTATATATTTAATGGATAGAAAATTTAAAAAGTTTGATTAGGAATAATAGTAGTAGTGTGATGTGTGCTACTTGTATAGACTTAAGTAGTATATGACGTTAGTCAGGAACAGAGTGTCTGGCAGCAGAGAGACAAGAGGATCGAACAATAAAGGACGAAAACAGAATGCAGTTTGTATGAAGATGCAAGAACAATGAATTTTGAGTCATTTCAAGACAATTGATGGACATTTTGCAAATTAAGCATTTACTATATGATTGTTAGATTTTATTAACTAGTTCTGTAATTTTTAGTCCAATACATCTCATTGTCCGTCACTCGTGTTCTGTTCACCACAGTAGTAGTAGCAGTAGCAGTAGTAGTAATCGTCCGATATCTATTTTAATGTTTATATAACTTTCCTAATTTGAATAGATTATATGACTTGAATAGTTCTCAATAGCCATATAACCATCAGTCTGCTGGAAAAATATATATATGCTTTCATACATACCATCTTAAAGATGGTATGCTTCAACCGGATTATGCAACTAGCATTACTTCTTTTCGGATGACTTTTAGCACAATAATTTTGTATAATGATTCTAATACTTTTTTAAAACACAATTTTATTGATTTCAGGTAATGACAAGGTGACAATGCATTGTTGATAAGGTGTTTACAGTTAAGAAACCAACTGACCACATACTAAAGTAATAATTATTTTGAATAGAATTACAATATTTTTGGATAAATACAAGTTATTTCGTCAAATCTTGAACCATCTTCCAGCAATTAGCCATGATCGATGTTAAGATGTATAATCTACTTATTATTTACCAAATTATCCTATACCTAATTGTCGTATTTTTAAAATTCAGCATCTCTCAATTGTTTGAACGTGTCACTGTACAGGAAAATATCCCTTTAAATACTGTGATATTTGATTTAAAACCGATGTTGGAACGATATATGAATGGTCATTTGTCCCCATTATCATCATCTCAGTCATCAGTATCGCATAACAGAAATATAACAGCATTTGCGAATCAACAAGAAACCTTTTGGCCATTTATCTTAGACGAATTTCTGATTAAACTAGCAAAACCACTGGATCGTGAAGTGATCTGTCTTTTACAAACTGAATCCTTAAGACATTCAGTCAACCGAAATGATCCTTCAATTGCATCATACAGTGATACAAGTCAAGTTTGTATACCTGGAGCTTGTTGTAAACTATTGCATATAAATATAATTACAAGCCCAACAGAATTACCTACACCATTCTATATTCAAGTAGCTGTACAAGATATTAATGATAATCCGCCACGATTTCCACCACTTCATACACCATATATTTTAATAAGAGAAGATATTAAACTGGATGAGAAGATATGGTTACCTCAAGCTTTTGATGCAGATAGTGATCAATTCAGTGTAGCGGAATACCGTACAATTAATTGGGTACATGGGAATCAAAGTCATTTTCGACTAGGAGTTTCAGATTCAAATGATTTAAATAATGATTTCGTTAGTGGTGTTCATGATATACCAAATAGTATGAATTTAAATTCTCATTTGGGTAAACCTTATTTAACTATAACAGAAGGATTGGATCGTGAACTTATTGATTTATATTCCTTTACACTAATCGCCATTGATGGTGGTGGAAATATTCCAGTTAGTAATGCACCAGATATGAATAAGGCACTTACTGGATCCGTCAGCATCATTATTAAAATCTCCGACGTTAACGACAATCATCCAACATTTGAACAAAATACATATCGTGCTGAAGTTGCAGAAAATTCAGTGACTTCACCAATTATTGAATTCATTTTATTCGATCGTGATATAGGAGATAATGGTCGAGTGACTATAGTTATCGATGATCCTACTGGACAAGCTCAACATCTTTTCCGTATTATATTACAACCAAGTCAAAATTCCAACTTAAAATTGTACAGTCACACTGGGTTTCCCAATTCTCCCCCACAACAGTCGAATAATCCAGCAGGAACATATTATAAGGGATCATTACAAATAATTAGTCCATTAGATGCTGAAAGGCATCTAAATTTGTTAAGATTTCATTTAGTTGCTGCTGATCATGGTCAACCAATATTAAGTTCTCGTTGTGAAATACAAATAAGAATAGTTAATGTAAATGATAATCCACCGAAAATTGTATTTTTAAATAATGGTAAACGATTATCTGATGGACGTATTTCATTACCGGAAGTGGAAACACCACAAAGAGCTATAGTGGCTTTAGTTCATGTAACCGATGATGATTCACCAATTGAACAAATTCGTTGTCATTTAATTAAAGAAGATGATATGTTTTCATTTGAAGAAACTGGTGGTACAAGTTTTCTTACACATCAACAAACTCAACAATCATATAATTTACTTAATGAAGCTATTGGAATTCATTCAACTTATAAGCAATATGTTATTCGTACAAGAAAAATTCCAGATAGAGAAGAGAAAAATTTTTATACAGTAAGTTGAAAGTTTATTTACTTATTTATTTGAACAAATAAATATTGGTACAAAAAAGCACCGAATGTATATGCGGCATACAAGTCACTTGATTTGTGTGTGGGCTGGGATATTGCCCAGGTGTCCAGACCAAAGCGAGTAGTTTTCTTAGCGGGCCACACGCGGGGAAATGTCAGAAGATGCAGTCCCGTGGTAGCCGGTGACCAACAGCTGGCTCATTCCACATTTGTTCTCTCAGGATCCTAGAGCCCATATGCACCACTGATTTGAAATCAGTGTTTTCCGACTCCCCTAGGCGGATCTGCAGTATCCACATTCCCTTTTCGTCCTCTCGTTTTCATTAACAACACCCCACAGCGAGAAAGCAGTGAGTAGGACTTCTCTGGCAGTGGCTGTATACGCGTGACCACGTGAAAGCATTTCGAGAGGGAGAGCTGACTTTCCCCACTCTCGGCCGTAACAAGTTTAATATGATATATTACTAAAATCTTTAAAATCTTTAAAATTTTTGAAGTTATGTACACTAAAATTATTAGATTCATATTTCAATTTTAAGCAACTAGTATTTTGTAGTTTAACAAAATGTACTGCCATAATGAGAATTATTTTGTTACTCGATGAAATTTTCCCAAACATCAGTTTGATTTAAGCATTTGATCATCCGAATATTATTTCATTATTTACGTGGTTCATGATTTTATTTTGTTCTGGTCATTTATGAAATAACTGTTCGTTGATCGCTTCTGAAGTTACTGAACTTGATACATACATTAGACTTATTTTGAAGAATATAATTTGGTGTGTAATCTTCAAGCAGTCAAAATTATTAACTTTCAAAATTCGATTTAAGGCTAAACATATGAGGCCAAGTTTTTCACACTAGATTGTTTTATTAAGATAAAATAACTTTATGTCATATTATGGCCAAACAATATACACAACATTGCTTCGAAATACAATGAATACTAATTTAACTGAATCGGTCAACAGGATAAACATTCATTGTTCTTATAGACATTTTTATATCATGACAATTCTATACACTTTACTAGTCATTAAAAAGAAATAATAATTGTAAAACCCTCAGCGGATAAGATCAAAATTAATCATAGAGATTTTTGTAGATAAATTTTATTTTTAATATCTTCCATAAACTCATCGCCTAATTAGTGTGAAACTGTTTGTTCATATCTCAACAAAAGTTTTCATAATCTCTCTATGTCAATTTATGTGACTTGTTGTAAACGTGAGCTTGGATTGATAGTTGTGTTTGACATTTATTGTTGATTACTTTTAACCATTGAAGTTCGAATAACGGAAATGTTGATGAGGATCTTTTAAATCTAGTAGTTACCTCAATAAATAACAAATATAAAATCCACTATTTATTAGTTACATTTCTTACCTGATTACTATGATTACTATGATTTTCGTGTGATTTATTTTAATATCAGACGTAAGATATTTATTTTTAAAGTGTTAATAACCCTGTAGTAACTGGTTGATAGTCTTAGTCACAGTTAGAGTATATATTTCTTCCAAACTATACTCCATTGTTATGTATTAGGCTTCTATCTATAATTTGGTTACTATCATAATAAACTTTAAAGCGTTAGAACACCTATTGTGTCAGCTAAATAAATATATTCTATCTTAAATGAAATTGCATTACCAAATTCCAAAACGTCTTTGAAGATGGTGAAACATTCGTTCAACAAACTTTTCAATTCATTTCATTCTAAATCATTCCCAAAACAAAAAATATTTTTGAAAATCACCAAACCGTTACTATCGCAACTTATGATCATTTGTTTTAATATGACTAATGAAAATCTATAGTTTAATATGACACAATCACTTTTTATTCTATTAAATATGCCTCACTAAAAAAAGAAGTAGAAATCAATGTATATTCTTTGTGTACTCATGAGAATTCACTTCAGTTCTGATTTATTCATGAAATTTTATTTAATTAATTAAATACAGAAATCTAAAATGTTGTTGTTTATTTCATCAACTTTAATGAGTTTAATTGAAATTTATAGTGATATGCAAATAGGATTTTTCTTTATATCAAAATAATACGATGTTAACAATGTGTTGAACATTCAGTTCATTAAAACATTGAGATGATTCAATGAACAATCAGTGAACACTAATGTCTGTAACTATGAAATATCAAATGTAATGTAATGTTTGCTTAGATGAATTACTTTCTTATAGGAACATATTAGCCATAAACTTGTAAGCTCTATCAGTATATGATAAGGGGAATTAAATGTTTATCTAATTCTTACTTTCAGATATAGCTGAGGTTAAAGCAGCATTTTTGAATATATTTATCCCATTTGAAATTATTCAATCAACCAAGAGATTTTTGATAGAGAACCTAAATTCATTTTATTCCTCCTTTTTAAACAATTAACATATTCAGCTTATAGCAAAAGATGAATAAACCACAAATGTTTATAAGATAAAAATGATGTAATGGAATTGACGTGATAAGAGTTTTTTTCATCTTGGATTTTACATGTGTCCGTGACTTCATAGATCCAATAATAATCGTTGACAAGAGTATTTGGAGCATCACTAGTGATCAATGTTAACTCGTTATTTCATTTTCTCGCTTTATCACTCCTAAGTCTCGTAAATGAAATTAAATATTTATCAATAACTCATTCATTTTATCTAAATTTAGTCGAGCCAGATTTATTTATATTAATAAGAGATTTCAATCAACATATTTGCATCAGTTTAAAAATTCGAGTTCAGGAGTTTTAAACTACAACTTACCTCGTATAATATGTTCGTGGTTGTTAAGCACAGCTTAATATACCCTAATTAGTTAATAGGTGATAAACAGTGTCATTCTGTCTTGTCCATCAAAAAAGCCTGAATCTAAGCTTAATTTAATTCCATTTTTACTGGGAAAGTAGATCTCTACTCGAGGAAACTGCTGTTACTCGTGACAACTCAGCACAAATCATTCACAATTATGATCATAAATATTAGTTAATTATCCGAAATTTATGTTGTCATATTATGACCAGATTATCATATTATTACCAACAAGTCATAGTTTGTAATTAAAACTGCGCAACTGATATAATAATTTAGTAGAGTTCATGAGTCAACTGAAGGTAGACCATCATGGAAAACCTGGAAGCACTAGACAATTGATAGGTCCTGGGTCCGAATCCCGCGGAACGAGGTCGTGGATGAGCACTTCTGAGAAGTCACAAAATAGAACAAAACGGCCGTCCACTGCTTCCAGGTTTTTCATGGTGATCTAGCATCAATTGACTCATGATCTAAATGATTGTAATAACTACAATCCCCACAAAACCCCTTACTTATATAATAATTGTAAAATCAAAGTTTAAACGTTAATTCAACAAATTTAGTCGCATACTTAAAAGCTTAAACTGCCTTGGCCTATTGGAGATTGCTCATCATTGCTTTTATTAGTATTGCTATCATTTTTACCATCATTTTAGTTAATGTTCTATAGCTTTTCGTAAATATCAATTAATTGGATCAATTGATCTACCGTATTTGTAAGAAATTACACACGTCCCTAACGTCTAATTACATAATGAATTTAGGGAATATTAAAAAAGAAACGAATTTATCTTGTTGGGAAAATACTAATTGTCATTACTTGGCAATGACGACTGAAGGAAACTAAATATTTGTAAACTAACCGTCTTAAAAAGAAATTAAATATAAATATGGGAGTCGAAAGAAATTGAAAGTTATAAAATCGACGATCGGTAAGATAGAAATGGGGTTTTAAGTAGTACATTTCTACTACTCTCATAATGTGCAAAAGACTAATCTGTATCCTCTTTGAGGCTTTTCCTTAACCATAATACGGTATTTTCTGGAGAATTAATCTCCCGTTTGTTATAAAATGCAAAATAACATATACATTAACGAACTCGATCAGTGACCTTATTGTAAATTATTATCTGGGAACGGGTGAACTCTCTTTTTTGAATTAAATAGTATTTGTTGATAATTAGTAGCAACCACTACATATAACTTCACAGCTTCACAATCTCTCTTCTATCACACTTTTCACTCTTCGCTAAATATTTCAACTTTACAGTCATCTATAATAGCAATCCATTTTCATCTCAGTTTGATCATTTTTAGCAAATCTCAACCAATACTGAGTTGACAAGGTACAATATAATAGTCTGCACTTTCAGATTTAGTCAATTATTGTTATTCAACATCAGTGAAATTGTAGAATTATGGTCTACTTTGATATCAGTACTGCTCTAATGATAGACCAAATCATAAAATTGTAGATTTGTCATAATGTAACTGCCTAATTTATAAGATCTTACGTGGAAGTCACAATCACGAGCATATGATGAAGAACACATTTAGGTTATAGACAGAACAATATATTTAATATTAATAAAAGTAAATCATAGAGCATGACCACGCCTGCAAGGCTGGGCCATGCAATCCGATTGGATTCAATTCAATTCCTTCTTCCCTTTTTCTCTATTGTTGGGTTTTTCCTCTGCGTTAAATATTGAATATCTATTTTCTCATTTGTCTTGTATTCAGCTTTAGGGATTATGTGGTTAAGATTCAATGCCACTACAAACTGTTTACTTGTAAACGATATGGTTAACTTTACATGCTTGAGAACAATTTTGACGATATTTAGCACAGAGTCCTAGTTTTAAGTGTTTAATTAATTAAATAATATTTTGGCATGACACTTTTCATAGTCAAATAAGTGACTTTAAACATTTAGTATCAAAATTTATTGTTGGTTATAATAGTCTACAATTTTAATTTTAAATATCACATAAGCCATGTTAAATAATAACCAAAAAATACTTCTATTTACTTAGCCATGTTAATGTTCCATAAGGATCTATCATTATTAACAGTAAATATAAGGATCTTTCAAAGGTATTAAAAAAATACGTATGAATTTGTAGCGGTAAATGAATCCCCAAAATAAATAGCTCTGT